CATTTTCATTTCTATTACATCTCGCACCTCCGCCCGCCACGTGTTTGTTCAAAAGGCTGAAGAATGGAGGGGATGCGACCCACGGACGCTCCTGCCCCAGAAGACCCGCTCATCTTTCAGGGGTCTCTTTTTGCTGGGCTTTCCAGAAACAGATTTCCGTGGTTATTCCGCCCCACGGATGCTCCCCAAGGCTGCCATTTTGGAGAACCTTTTCCGCCCATGAACTGCTTAGGAAGCCACAAGGGGTGGGGGCGAGGGGGCACACACACACACCCCGGTCTCTCCTCCGGACGCAGCCTCTGTCCTGAGCATTTCAGCCTCTGCCCTCAGCTTTGCCCAGCGGCGTGGGGGCCAGCAAGGAAGTACAGGTGCTCCTCAGGATGGTCTCCCTAAGAGGAGACCACCCTGCCCCACCAAGATGTGGTCAACCACGTCCTGGGGGACTGGACTGGTTTGCATCTGACAGGAGGAGGAGGAGGAGGAGGAGGGTCCTCGGTCAACGTTGCCCATCCAGAGCAAACCACCCTCAGGCTATTTGCAGAATGGCAGGAGGTGCTTGAAACCGGCATCCTTTCTCCTGGGAAAAGCCCGTGGCTCCCCCAGCCACAGGGAAGGACGTCTTTCAGCCCCGACAGGAGCTGGGGAGCCATATGGAGGGATCATGGCACAGCCCTGTCTGGGCAAGGGGTCCGGGTGTCCCGGCTGCACAACCTCTCTGGCCAGGGGAGAGTGGCCGTCGTCTCTCCATCGAGGGTGAGCTGTGGATTGGCCTCTGGGCCCCTTCTCTTACGCCACTGAGGCACCGCTCGGAATGGTGGGCCCTGGGCAAGGCTTACCTATCTATTTATTTTGCACTGCGATCGATCGATCGATCGATCGATCGATCGATCGATCTTCTTATATTCCTACCTACCATGAGTGCACAGCACTATCCTGCACAATTAACATCAACCGGGCATCACAAAATGAACTAATACAATATAAAGACAAAGAATAAAATTAATTTGGGGTTATGCCAGAAGGGCTACTCCTCGGATGCCCCAGAAGGAAATCTGGGGTTGGCAACAGAAATATGGCAGACAGGAAATTCAACAGGTAGAGTTTATGTACATCCCAGGGAGCTGGGAGTCGTACCATTTCTCTCCAGCACATTTCGGTTGCCTGCGCTCCACACACCTCGACCCTTTTCCCGTTCCCTAGGCTGATTCTCTGGGGGGGGGACCCAGAAGTCCTCTGCCCCCCCCTCTCCCTTCCTACCCTGGCCTTTCTGACGGTTAGTCCCGAGCGCCAGTTTGTGGAAGCAGCTGGGATTGCAGGACAGGGTAACCTTGCCGTGGTGGGAGGACCAGTCCATCTTAGCGCGTGTGTGTGTGTGCGCGCGCTCGTGCACGTGGGTACAGAGGGGTGGGCTTGCACTCCTGGACTTGGCCCTCTCCGGCCGTGGGTCCCAGCTGCTGTCCTGAACTGACCCTGGCTGGGGCCCAGAGCCAAGAGGGGGGGCCAGGAGGAGCAGGTGGCCTTGTCGGTCTTCAGGGCTCTGGCGCTCCCTTCCGCCTGCTAGTCCAAAGCTCCTGAACGGCAGAGAGGGAGGGAGTTTCTAAAAATACTTGGGGAAGAGAGAAGAAGGGCCTGGAGGGGGGGGGCTGAGGAGCCAGCCTGGAAAACAGTCTAAATGGGCGCAAGGGCACCCACCTGGCAGGATGGTCTGCACCCTGGACGCCCGGAAGGCAAAGCAGACCGGAGGGACTCCCGCCGTGAGCTTGCTTTCTGACTTCCGGGTTCCCCCTTTGGCCAGGCGGGGCCTCCAGGAAAGCCTGCAAGATGAGCCCCCCCCCAATGACTGACAACTCAGTGGTAGACTGTCTGTGACTGTGGAGGCTCCGAGGGGGGCAGCTTTAGCTCTCTGACCCAGCAGGTGCCCCCTCCCTTCCTCCATCGGTTCCTTTCACCCTTCCAAAAAAAGTAATTGGGTCTGCAGCCCCCTCACCCCCCCCACGCCCAGGGCCAGAGAGACAAGCGAACTCTGTGCGTGGTCCTTGGGAAGCCTTTTCTTTGGTCTGTCTCGAATGTCTGGCCAGTCAGCTTTCTCAGACAGCTCTTACCCCGCCCCCCCCGCTTACACTTTGGTAAGAGGAGGATGTCAATGAGTATCCTCTTCAGCAGGGGCCTCCTTTGTGTCTCCCTTACTCACCTTTTTTTCACACCTAACCCCCCCACCCCCACACGTGGGGCTCCCGTTCCACTAAGGGGCAGCTTTCCAACTGGTTGCTCCTTCTGGGTTGCCCTTCTCCAGCACCAGGCTCAACATTTCCAGACTGATCCATGTTGAGGGGCAACCCCCCCCCCAAACTGTACACAAGACTCCAAGGAGGTGGGGCTGGCGGGCGGGCGTCTGGCAAGGGTCAGGCCCCTTCCCGGGGCCAGGAAGTCCACCACTTTGGCCTGAAGGGAGTTCCAAGCTTCCTTTCCTGCCAGAACAAAATCGGGCACCCTGCTTCAGTGCCTGGCGAGAAGAGGCACCGGGCTGGCCCACAAAGTTTTGCTGCCGGAGGCAGAGCAGCAAAAGAGCCCTCCTCTCCAGGAGGCAAAGGTGCCGCCAGGCGCCTGGCCCATCGTGTCCTGGGGAAACCAGAGGCCAAACTTCCCTCCAGCCCTCGTTCAGCAGCCCAGCTAGGCTTGCCTTTGGAAAGAGTTCCGCAGCTCAGGGGCAGCCCCCCCCCAAAAGGGCCCGTTTCCAAAAGTCTGGCCAAGATCCATCAAGCCCTATAGGTCCTGGTGCCATCTCTTTGCCCCAACACCCATCTCTCCCCGTGGGAGTCTCCCCAGGTCTAAAGATCTCTGGGGAGGCCCATTGGTTCCACCACCTTGACAGGCATGTTTGGTGAAGACAGGAAAAGAGGCCTTTGGTGGACTGTGGAACTCCCTGCCACAGGAAGCCAGGCTGGCCTCTTTCCTGCCACCCTCCCAGGGTCAGGCCAAGACCTCTTTGTCCCATCGGGCCACTTGGAAGGGTTGTGGGCAAAGGGGGTGGTCTGCTACGGGAGTGGTCCAGCGGTGCGATGGGATGTCCCCTGGCATTTTAGTGGCCGAACGTATTTGCTAGTACCTGGTCGCTCATGAACCGTGCACAGAGGGAAGGAAAGCTATCCGGGTCGGCCCCGACACCTGACCCCCCTCCCCGCATCCCGGCCTCCGCCGCTTGCGGGCCTGGGCTCGGACCCAGGTGGCTCCCCCGGCCGGACGCCCGGACGCTTCCGTCGGAGGCGCGGCGGCAGCAGCAGCAGCAGCAGAAGGGCCCCGGGTG